CCAGCTCACAGCACCAGCACCAGCACCGGCACCCGGCACCCAGCACCGGCACCAGCAACACCACCAGCACCGGCACCCAGCACCAGCACCAGCAACCTGTCTCCACCACGTGCACAGCCAGCTCACAGCACCAGCACCGGCACCCAGCACCAGCACCAGCAACCTGTCTCGAAAGCGCGCACGGGCAACTCATTGTTATTTGAAGTAAGAACCCCATAGCTTCGCTATCTGGGGAATTAAAAGCGGGAGAAGGCGCGGGGAAGGGCGCAGCGCCTCCCCGCAATGCAAACTAGTGACAACAGCAGCCTGACCGGTTCATAACCAACCATGGCACAGTTGGTTGGTTTGTGGTACTGTAACTTGGCACGACCACAAAACAGATGTCACAGAGTTTCCCCAATGAATCTTCCTTTGATAACTGCAATGGTCTCTGCGCTGGGTATCTGGGCAAAGTTTTGCAACTGCCTTCCTTCCTTCCTTCCTTCCTGCCTTCCTTCCTTCCGTCCTGCCTTCCTTCCTCTCGCCAGCTAAGCCATAAAAAGATATATCCCGCTAAAAAACAAAATAATATATATATATATACCACTAAAGTATACCCCCCGTAAGTTTCCCTAAAATTCTAGGAAGCGAAGGAAGTGCGAGCGCTTCTTCAAGGAAGCTTCCCCCGCCATATGTAGTAGCTTACTTGTAGGTACTAGCTACCTAGCTTCTACTAGCTACTCTAGCTAACCCACCTCAACAAGCGGCCTACCCCCCATTTAAAGATAAAATGATGCGATGTATTTCAAAGTATTTCAACTTCGTGCCCTGCCTTCGTGATGTCCCGTCTGGACAACTTGCTGGTCTGCTGCTCGAATTCTTCTCGCAGTCTGGACAAATAGCTCTGGGTCTCACCTTGCCGGTTGCTTCTGTCAAGCTATTTTAAGTTTGGCTTTGCATAATTTTGCATAGGCTGACAAAATGTGTATAGCTCCGGCAACAATCCAATGTGTCTACAGTCCACAACTTCATTGGCAATCATTGGTCTAAAAGCGAGATCAGAGGTCCCATTTCATGTGAATTGTTTGAAGCTTCGCAATCAAACAAAAGTCGGTTGCTGCCCTGCCTGAAGGACTCACAAAAACACCTGACATCAAACAATTGGCGCAGTGAGGTTGTGTGCATCGTTCAGTGCAATTGCTTTCGCAGGAGCACCATCAATCTATGCGAGATTCCGTCTGTCCTATCTGATTGCCTACCTCTAGATGTACCTTCTGCACCATCTTCTCTATCCGAGGGTATGTACATTGTAAGTCCTTATACATCAGTCTGTTTTATGTTTTTTTAAACCTTTGTCTCTCTTTCTGCCAAGGGCAGCACCCACTACTTGGGAGTCAGGACCGTGCTCAGCCTGCGCAAAGGCGGACGGATGCCTTGTCGAAGACAAGTTTGGCTTGCCAAAACCTATATAGTTACGACCAAGCCGGATCTGGGTTGAAACAAGGGGTAAACCTCCTCCGCAGCCTCACAAGCTGCAGAGTTCTTGAGGCCAGTAAGGCATTTGCCTATGTTGATCCATTCTGAAAGATGAAGAGACAATCTTGGCCTGTGAGAGCAAGTCTGCTACCACGAAGGAAGGGTCGCTGGTCACATCAAAAATGCCTGCAAGGTAGGACTTGTGTGACAAATACAATATATAGTTATACTCTGCTGCAACAGGAATGCAACAGAACCAAGAATACAATGTCCGGTGCCAACCTACAAGGACTTCTACAAGAACAAAGACTTCGGGGCGTCTAGTTCACTGGTGACGAAAGGGGGTCAAACTGGGTCTCAAAACCTCTGCGATACCCTTCACTCGTCAGATGAGTAGACCCAATTAGATCCAAGTATATATATATATATAGAGAGAGAGAGATTTACGCATATCATATAATATACATATTATATATATATATATTCACTCCATGTGTCTCAATCCACTCCGGACGGTGACTTGGATCACACTAGATTCCACGAGAGACTAGCTTTGCTGGGGCCATCACAAAGCTGCTCCGATGGGCCGGCTGGCATGTCGATGGACACAGCTGCCTGCCGACGGACATTTTGAAGGGGCGATTACACATAATTACACAATTCGCAAGTGGCACTCGCTTATGCAAACGCACTCCCTTCCTACTTCGAACACGGAAAGAACTAGCAGCCTCGTCATCGGCTTGCAGCATCATCTTTGCTGCGGTCACATACTGGTTGCCAGGTCCGGTAATCTTGTGCACCTGCAAGATCTTGCACGCAGGCTTTAGAGTGAGGTTGTCCTTCAAACTACAGGAAATCGTTGTTGTAAAACAAGAAAGCTGAGACTGAATTCTCAACCTTTGGGCAGCTCTTTGTGCCAAAGGCCATGGCTGCCTCAGCGGTCAAACCGTTGGCTCGGCGAAAGCTGAAAAGGCCATGAAAAGGCCGTCTCCCGCCTTACTTTCGGTCGCAGGTTTTCAGAACATCCCTACCAGTTTCTCACCGGCTTTGCTTTCACAATCAAGCTTGCTTTGCTCTTGAGCCCTTGGGGCGTTACCTGTCTTTAGATCTTGGAGGAAGTATTTTGAGCCACAGCCAAAGTAGAATGAGTAGTGTCTGCCTATATACACATATTATGTAATATACACATTCAGCTACATGTATATATGATTTTTGTAGCTTCGTTTGCACACAGCACCCAGTGTAACCGGGTGGAGTCATGGAACAATGCTGGGCCTCCCGACGATGGCCTGTGCACCACCCGCCTTCAGGATTTTGGTGGCACCCGCACGCTTGGCGGCATAAATCACCTGCCAAGTAAAAGAAAAAAAACACAAATCCGGAACTTGTAAGTATATAACTTGTTTGAACTTCTTCGTGCTTGTTCTATCTTTCTCTAGTGAGAAACCAGCGAAGTCATGTGCCCACCTCCGGGCAAATGCTGCCATCCGCTCGAGGTGGAGTGGCCAGAACAATCTGACATGCAATCAGGATCAATCAAGCACCCATCACGGCCCATCACGCTGCTACACAAGCGGTTGGACTGAAGGAACTGACAGAAACTGAACGAGCCCTGCTCTTTGAGCGCAAGTACTTCGGTGCACAGTGGCCTCTTTGCAGCCAGCCAGTTTGGCCGGCGCAGCTAGCATGTACCTGTGCAGCTGAAGTACCCGGACCGCAAAGGACTACTGCGAAGTATAAATCAACAAAGGCATTGACCTGGCACTGGCCTATGTCAATCGTATCCTTTGGCACGGTTGCTGCCAGGACTGTGCCATGTCGGGGCACGCAGTCGAGGGTAAAACAGCGGTGCCACCAGGCACATAGAGGCCCACCGCCTGAAGCATGGCGATCATGTAGATGAATGCACTCAATGCACTCATGTGTCCAGAAAGCACTCTAGAGTGGCCAGAGGGTTGAGACTCATGAGATTGCAGAGCACGCCTCCAAGCACGCATCCATGTAATCTACGAGCCATCCGTCAAACGTAAAATCCAAACGGACATGGATTTTTGCTCACAAGTTCTCCAGGAAGGCCTCTGCTGTCCATGTAAATTCATCGAAGAGCTTGCACTCCCATTGCGAGTATGGGGCGTGCTCCGGTTGAAGAACAAAACCGGTTGTAAACGGCATCCAGGCAATCAAAATCTTGAGAAACCTTCCAGAACCATTATCCAAAGCATCAAAGCACCAAGAGGGGAGAGTGTTTGATGAGTAATCGGTTTGGACCCAATATCCCTTGTCATCACATTTCCTTCACTCCGAGCTTGCCTCAATGGGTACTGCAATGCGTCGGCACCTCGGCAATTCCAACCAAGTCCTTTCTGTGGGAGACAAGAACTCAAAACAGATCCTTTGACGGCCAAGGACAACTTCCCGAACGTGTGCATGTGTGTGTGTGTGTGTGTTGTGTCCAGAAAGTGCCAAGAGGAGGACTCGACACCAGGCATCGTCTCCACGCACAAGGTCGGCTTCTTCTGAGGCAAAATGTTCAGGCTTCTGGCTTCTGGCACTATTGAAGCACAAAGCTTATTGGACTCCCTTTTGAGAACACCTCACATAGCAACGTTATCTTTGCTTGGTAGCTACGTCCTTGGGCGACTTCTGGTAGTGAGTATAGGATGTGGTTCTGGTTCTATGCTATCGCAGGGAAGCCTGGGAGGTCGTTCAAGCTGTTTGAAGACTCTTCAAGCAGCGTATCTGCCGGCGCTGCCTGTGCAGCGTGGAAGCGTCGCACGTTTTCGTAGGCGGCATCCAAAGACTTGGCCACTTTGGGCTCCACCTGCACACCGTTGAACGTTGAAGGCCATTCGCCGGTGCTCTAAACGAAAGTGAAAAAAGTGCACAACATGTCCTGGATCAAGAGCTGGTCGCTTTGTTCATTGCCCCTTTCATGCAAAGGACTAATGACGGTGGCCATCCGATGGGGTGACCAAGGTATGAAAACACCCGTGGTCTTCAGGGCTGTGCAATTGTCCGTAAGTGTGAAAGATACTGTACTGTACACGACAAACACAATAGAAGACTGCATGGAACAAACAAGCACAATACAGTGCTTTCGTAGGTGGTCGATTTGCCGATAGTGTCGGGCAAAGAGTCACGGAACAGAGTTGCTTCTTTTACAGCTTACAAGTATATCAGCACAGTGTTGGCAGGAGCATCACATTTAAAAGCCAGCAAAACAAACAAGCCGCCCACCTGGAGTTGTTTTTGTTTTGCGCAATGCGGCTTTATCACTAGGACTTGGCTGCACACCAAGGTAAAGATGGGCACCGCACTCAGCATATATTGCAATCACATCCTTCTCCAGCTACAAACCTTCAAAGCTCTAGAACTTGTCTCGCCAGCCTCTTGTGTCAAAGTGCAGTGCCTGGAACATCCCTACATTGAAAAAGACCGAGAGTGGCCCCAAAACATTGAGGTCAGGTGCCTTTATCATTGGCACTAGCACGGGTCTCGCATCGTGACAAATGTGTGTGTGTGTGTGTCGTCTGTCTTGCTGATCTTTCGAAGACACTTTGAAGAGCTTGTCTTTTTGTTGGAAGACATGAGGCAAACTTGCTTGGTGGCAATGGAAAGCCGAATGAGCACTGCATCCAAGATATGGGCATGCAATATCACACAATAACGTCTGCATCCATCCATAATTGCGAAGCAGTCTCTGCACAATGGTCCTGTACTAACGCGTTGTGCTCTAGTCTTCGTTGCATCTCTCCTTGGTTGGGGTCAATTTGTCCTTTTGCAGTAAGACCTTGACTCGGGTTAAGTGCAACACAACTCTATCTATCTATCTATCCATCCATCCATCCATCCATCTATCTATCTATCTATGAATGTATTTCTCTATATCTCTATCTCTCTATCTCTCTTTCTCTGTCTGTCGGTCGGTCGGTCGGTCTGTCTATCTCTCTGTCTGTCTGTCTGTCTGTCTGCCTGCCTGCCTGCCTGCCTGCCTGCCTGCCTGCCTGCCTGCCTGGCTGGCTGGCTGTCTGTCTGTCTGTCTGTCTGTCTGTCTCTATCTATCTATCTATCTATCTATTTCCCTCTCTCGCTGAAGGTGCCAAAATGGACATTTGCAAACGCGAAAGGCAAAGTGTTTCGTCTTATTCATTGCTTTTCACAGTTTTAGAGTGCCAGCCCGATTCATGCGGTCAAGGATTGGTTGCCCAGCTCCATTGGCTGGACTTGATGCTAAGAAACCCCCAACCATGAAGCTGCCGCTCAACAAAAATTTGAAGAGTGTGAGTGTGGGCACTGGGATATCTACACAACCTGCACACCCACGAAACCCTGTAAATCGTTGATCAAGCCAACAACGAGCAAGGCAGAGCAAGACCCTCTCCTCAAAGCAAGACTGCTTGCCTTTGGCCATGGTGCACTTGCCACGTCGATGACCAAATCATCCTGCGAGGCCAGTGCTTTGGGTGATGCCCCGCTTCACATGCACGGTGTTGCATGGTACGGTAGTTGTCTCTTTTCAGACTCTTGGTATGGGGCCATTGGACGCCCCGGTTGGGTCATTCGATCATGTATTCCAGCTCTTTCCAAACAAAAATTGTGTTAGTTTGACTTATTAAGTCCAACACGGAGACTTGTTTATGCCTAGGGACTGAAAACCGGACCCACTTTTCTGACATTTTCGGACTCCACGACGCTTGGTCATGTCATCACATGGTGTTGGGGGGGGGTGGGGGGTGGGGTGAGGGTCAAATTCCCCGCAGTGGAGCGTGTAATAATACACAGTAGTATCCCTGGATTCAACTCACAGTCCAACAAGGTTCACAAGAGCCAGTGAGCGAAGGCGATCGAGCGGCTGTTTTCACACGCACATACCTTGAGCCAAATATTATGGCACGTCAATGCATTGCGTAAGAGCATATCGCAAGATAACTAACCAAGTTGAAGCAATAGCGTAAACGGGGACCCAAAAAAAGAAAACATGGGGGGGTGTTGTAATTTCGTTGCTGTCACATACGTCTCATGAGCATGAAGGCTCAAGAAGTAGCCACCGTGTGCTTTAGTTTTGTTGTGTCGGTTGTCGGGTGTTCCTTGACCTCCTCCTTTTTTTTGTGGTTTCTTCGTTTGTGGTGTGCCAAGCCTTTTTCTTTAGACCAGCACGTAGACGGTTTAACTCGTGGTTGTTCTGACCCTTTAGTTTCTTTTGTTCACGAAACAGTTTTGGGTTCAGATCGTGGCAGGGTAAACTGAGAGCAGGTGTTAGAAGCCCGTCTTTCGTTGTTCACACTTTGGTGCAAAGTGCGGTTGAGGTTTTCTTTTTCGAAAAGGCAGAAACTAACTCCTTTTCTGTTGGTAACTGTTGGTGTTGAGTTGGCGTTTGTTGCGTCGTTGTAGCAGCTCCATGTCGGATGGGTGCGCCGCCGCTGATTTGCCCGACAATGGCATCGATGAAAAAGACTTGCACTCGGAGCCTGACTGGGGACAGCTAGCTACACAAAAAACAGGCAACTTGAGGTGTCACGAAAAAGCCTTTTTTTATTTAGGCGAAACGCATGACAAAGCACTGCGTTTACCAATGAATTTGACATGAGAACCTGCAAAATAGGGTACGGTTTCCAATCCGTACGGTTGTTTATTTCCAATGCGGCTGCAGGTCACATGTTTATTTCGTGTTCTCCAGCAATTCCAGCAAGAAACATTTGGCTTTCGCTGCGCGAAGTTCGCCTTCCAACTGACTGCGACAGGCCTGCGACAGCTCTGCCTTATCGAAGCGCTTCGCCAGGCGCGCCAGCGCGGCATCGCCATCTTGGCGCACCTCCAGGGCACATCTTCGTCCCCATGTTGGCATCAGAAACGATTCTCCCAGAATTGGTTTAAGGGAAAGTCTAAACCCATGGTTTTGGGGGGGGACAAGACATAATTACAGTGAAAACGGTTTCCTGTGTATAGACTTTTCCTAAAACCAATTTCATTGATGTTCCAATCTTCCCTTGAGACGGGCTCACCTCTGCTTACTTGCAGGTTTGGGTCTTGAATGCGACTTCTCCCCACGGCCCACTGCGATAAACAAGAATCTAGTCTCTGAAGGAGATGAGCCATTGGGCAACTCTCTACTGCTTGGAGTTGTTGCTCGTGTTTTAAAAAATGACAGGAGAACTTCCTATATTACGAGAACTTTCACCAGCGGTTTACGAAAATGCTTATTAGGATCCCAAAACAGGCACGCAAGGGGGCAAACACTGCATGAACACCACTCATTGCTCCGCGTTTCCACATGCCAACCTCTGCAATGATGGGCTCCGCCCGGCTTTTAGCAGTGGCTAAGTCGATCTTTGGCCTCAAGTAGAGCTCGGCACCTTAGCCATGAAACGATGCGCAAGAGTCCGCACGCTTTAAGACTTAAGGCTTCAAAAGCTCGCCCTGGTTGCGCAAAGGGTGGGGAAACTTGTGGAAAATCACATGGACGCTGCGAAGGTTTGGATTGCATAGATTCAGATTGCTGAACCCGAAGGTTGCCCCAAAAAAGCAAACTTTCTACCCCGGCGGGACGAAAACACCTCGACAGTGGGACAGTCGAAACCACCAGAGCTGAGATGATCCCTATTAGAAATGGTTGGCTTCTGATGGAGCCTTCAATATCTTCAATACTCACTCATGGAGCTTCTATTTCTTTCGACCTGGGAATATGATGTCAAACAGCGACAGCATGCACATTTGGTGCAGGGAGCGACAGCAAGGATCATCGGAGCTGGATTGCCTCTCTGCATTGCATGACAAGGCACGTTTTTCTGCGGAGATCTTACTATCCTCGATGAGTCGTATACCTGAAACAAATTCAGGGCTGAGCATCAAAGGAAAGCAATAGAAAAAGAATCCTTGCCAAATTAAGTCAAAACGATGGTCAAGTGCTCAGCCTTGCAGGATCAGGATTCCTTTCTTTGGTGTTTGGGATGTCTAGCTCCGCTAGCTGCCTACAGAATCCAGATCTCATTCCAAGTCCTGCACGCAAGCTGGCGCACGCAACCCCACTCACGCCAGCACCCTCACCCAGCGATCTCAGCGATCTCCCTGACCCGATCTGACCTATGGCCTATGGAGGTCATTCCTAGGCTGGAGGCCATCGCTACTAGGAACAAGTGCATCGCTACTAGTAACAAGTGCCTTACTAGTAGTAACAATGTTTGCTATTAGAAACAAGAATTCAATTAGAAACAATATGCTACTAGGAGTTACTATAGGCTGGAGGCCATCGCTCTTAGGTTGGAGGCCATCGCTACTAGGGTGGAGGCCATCGCCATTACTCAAGACTTTAGATTGGGTGCAAAGCCTCTGCCGTCGGGCTGCGATTCCGGATTCAAGTCTGAGCTTGAATCAAGTAGCTGCAAAAAGGATTCCACTGCAATGAGCTAAGAAAAAGATAGCATTCACTGCAATTCTCCAGGTCAGCATTCACTGCAATGGCCACTGCATAGATCTACACCTGTGTTTCAATTCTTTTGACTCAGAGGCCATGTGGTTCTTGAGCAATCCAACCTACCCTTGGCCTCATCCGTCAGTTACTGTACTGGCAGTGCTGCTACAGTCTCCTTTGTGCTAAATCAGTGGCCGTTTGTCAGAGAATGCTTCCTCTGAATTCCTAGGATAGAGGAGCCAACACCTCTTGCTCCACGTCAGCTTGGGAGGGCAGCTTGAACTGGTGATGGAAATGGCCACACACTTCTTCTTCGGCATTTGTCATGCTGTCTGTCAAAAGGTTTAGAAGACACTGACCAAGGTCAAGGTCTGTTGCATTGGATTGCCAAGCTTTTCACCCACACATTGGCTCCTCTATCTGCTATTTGGCATGAAGAAAAGTCGAATTCCTTGCTCAGTGGCCCACTGCAACACCTCGCAGGAGCAGAAGTGTCTCACTGTCTGGTGGGAGCTCCGTTCACCCAAAAGCGGCTCCGGAGCCCGACCTTCAGGTGGCCCGTCTGAAAGTGAGCAACAACTTGCGCTATGAGGTAACTGGATGGCCTGGTTTTGGCTCAGGACAAAGGTGTTGGTTTTCCTGCTTCCACACACACATTTGATGATGCATGTTCCTATAGTTCTAAGGATTTTCAATGTGTTTATATTAATATGACTGTTATATAGGGTCGGCAGCTGTTGCAATCTGGATCGCGGGGCCATGGTGTTTTCATTGAGTGCTCCCTGCACCCAAGCATGCTGAACTACACTTTAGATAGGAGCTATCTTTGTGGTGCAGTATGCAAAAAAGGGATGGGCATTTACCAACGACTTTTCTTATATGAATACATTCTTTTAATGGTTGACAGGCTGACAACGATTGGGGGAAGTACAATTGAACAGCAACCAAGCCAAGGTCATTTCACGCCCCCGGGACGAACTGCCCTCAAGATCGCAGCAACTCCAGTCAAGCGGCAATGGGAAGCGTTGCACCTCAAACAGAACAGTGCTGAGCTGCCAGTGAGTGGATAGTTGAAGCCACTCTAGCGGACGTTCCATCATCTATCTGTCTATCTATCTATTTTGGATCCTCATTGTGCAAATCATTGGATCATCATTGGATCCTCCTTTCTCACTAGGAATCCAACACTGCTGAACTGAAACCAGAGTCCACATCACTCCCTGCGACGAATGCAAAGGCTTCGGCCTGGCTTTACTGGAAATCACCGAACAGAACTGGTCAGAATCTCTCGTTCGCTTGTCTTTGTACGTCCAGCTATACCGGGTGGCTGTATACTGGATATACATTTTGAGTGCATATCCTGGCAGGCTTCCCAGAGACCTGGCCTGGCTGATGTGCAGCAACACACACCTTTGAAGCTGGAGTCTCCGGAATGCCGCCATCGGCACCGGGCCGATGGAAGCTGCGGCCAGAGCACCAAGAAGCTGGCCTGCGACAGGCGACAGAAGTCTGGCATCGCTACAAAGCTAATTCCTTCTTGGTTCCTTATTCATCCTTCTAATAGCAATGGCCATCAACATAATAGCAATGACCTCCTTTCCTTTTGCTGATACTGAGTCTTCATGACTCTTGGACTGCATGCATGCTCACTGACTCATCACCCGTGATAGTCCGGTTGGACATCTGGCAATTACCTCCCACCTAATAGCGATGGCTTCCAACCTAAAAGCCATGGCCTCCAACCTAATAGCGAATGGCCTCCAGCCTGATTAATATGCCTGCGCCTCGTCTTCTCCAAGCTTGGCATCTTTCATTGCCAACCTCGGTGCAAGTATTCCAGGTTGGCAGGTGCGCACGCGATGTGTATATAGCCATAGAACAACTCAGCGCATGTGAGAGCATGCAAGCGATGAGAAGCTGGAGCTGTAAGAAGCATTATAGTGACTATGTATTATGCATAATACAAAACAATATACTGTACTGTAATATTATATATATATATGTATAGAGTATATATTCTATTGCCAGTAACAGTGGATGATTATGGTTAGTAAAGACCTTGTTCAAAAAGAGTGATAATTGTTTACCGATGGTTACAGGTAGTGGGACCGACTCTATATACTTATATGTATGTGTATACATATTAATACTGTATTCAACAAACGTGCAAAACTTAGCCCAGGTTGGCGACTGATATTCCTCTTGGAGTCTTTGCCTCTCTTCTTCTGAGCCACCTGCAAGTCTGCACAAGTCTTCCAGCTGTCGCAAAACTGATATCCAGCACGATATCTGTTGTTCCAGCATCAAGGTTGCAAAAACCTCTGTGGCCAGAAGTCCGACATTCGTCCAATGCTTCAATGACAGCCAAGGGGAACAAACAAAAGGACAGAAGGACAGGGACGTTGATGGCACCAAGCGCCTGCGGGCAGGCAGTGCAGCAGGTGCTGGGCGATACAGGCGCTCCTGGGAGCATCTCGTTTTTGCACGGGAAGGGTTCAACAAAAATGAGTTGCTTGGTTTTGCTCACCGTAGGCCGCAGGCTGTATTGTGGGTCAGTTGAACAGGAAAGCTCAGTGCAGTTTGCGACTATCAGGCATCCCACATTACGCAGGGGTCACAAATAGACTGAAAGTCGCTTAGCTCCCCCAGTCCAGAAGTTTGTTGCATCAACCAAAGCATGGAAATGTCCTACGCTCTGGATACTCTGGTATTGAAAACTAATCGAAATTCAAGCCTCACCAAGAGTTCTACGGAGCATTGCAAAGCTCGGCTCAGTCTACCTCGCCAGGTCTCACTCGTCGGTCAGGCTGCGAGGCTTCCAAGGCCCATCGGAGCTTTGTGACGTCCCCATCCAGGCAAGCAGAATTGTACGCAGCGCTGACAGCACCTGGATGAGGCCATAGCATCATAGGTATGCATCCGGCCATATGAATCATATGAGCAAACTATGAAGGCTGGGTTCATCTGAATTCAACTCGAAAAAGCTCGCCAGTGGCCTACCACAGAAGCACCCAGAGACAAAGCCGAAACCTGCAGGTCACAAGGCCAAGGGTGCGTCGGTCGCAGATCAGGTGGATGTGACCACCACTCGAAAGCAACAGGTAGAAGCTGCATGCATCTGCACTTGAGTTCATGACATTGCTTTTGGCGGTTCAACAACATCAATGAAGAAGCTTGCTAATACTGATTGCTTTGAGTTTCCATGTCCAGCTTCTTCGAAGAACACCACTTGCCTTCCAGTTCTTTGGACGGGTGTCAGCCCAGCGGCAGTATTCCGGCAGGACCTTTGCAGGGTGAGTTTCAATCAAACACTCGAGAATCATCACTGCCGTCTGAACAAAAGAACCAAAGAAGGACCCTCGAGTCCAGACCGCTGTCAACTTCTCAAATAGAAAGGTGTCTCACAAGCAAAGGTAGGCCTAGACCTAGACTCAGACATGGCACAACCCCAATGCTTCATACCAAGTTGAAGAGACGGTGCCTTGCCGTACAGGTCTTGGGCTTCTTCGTCACGGCCTTCATGAGGCATTTAGTGATACAGACTTGAGACAAAGAAGGTTACAAGCATGGAGAACCGGTGTGGATTGAAGCGGAAGTGTACAAAGTTGCAAAGCTAAACAGAAGAATACTGTGAGCTGATCATGCACTTTATGCACTTTGTACAATTTCTAGTTCGACATGCGTTTGTCCTATTTTATCGCAAAAAAGTCTGACAACGAAAAGGACGGCATGAGCTTCATGGCAAATAAAACGAGTTGCATGCAGTTACCCCTCCTTATACCGACTCACAATCATTGGAATCCCACCGGCGAGTCGTACTGTTCGCCTTGCAGCTGTAAGCAGAATGCCAAGCTTGCTTGGCCTCAGGATGTTCTTCGTCCTTCTCTCTGCAAGCTTGCCCATGCTTTCCCATGCTTTTCTCATGTTCCAGCTATGCTGTTGTGACCCTTTGTGATGTTCTGACTATAGTGAGTTTCTTTGAGGTATGCCGCCGGAATGGTACGCCACTCTGAAAAAAATAAAGCGATGTCTAGCTTCAAAGTAAGCAATGTGAGAATCTGTGGTCCTGAAAAGCTGGGGTCCTTGCAGGCAAAGAAGTCTGGTGTCCACAGGTCTTGATGTTTCAACTCCTGCCATTCATGAATGCAAAATATCCTGCCTCAGGAATGCGTTCGAAGCAACAAATGGTTATTCAAAGAGTTGCCTTCCAATTTGATCCGCCCTGGAGATGGAAAGTTGTTCATCGAAATTCCACGCAAGTGTCTCTTTGTCCAAAGAGGTCAAACATGCACCAATCCCTCTCCAGGCTTCAAGGAAGGGTCACTATGGGCCTTGGGCCTGCACTTATATCATGTTCAATGATATTGATGTTCATCTCGGTCTTTAGTTGGTGAGCTTCCATACGGATCTACA